AATCGGATGCAGTGTGAATCCAGCATATGGATTCCGGTCTAGTGACTTTAGGCCTGTTCTTTTTACTGAACTGGTGTATATGGTGCAATAAGTTAAAGTGAACAGATATACGTTTGTTTCATTTCAACTTATTGCACTGTGTGCACCAAGTTCAGACAGTGCAGGCAAAAAGAACAGACCTATGGTGGAAGAAATAAGCTTGTTCTTTTTGATTGAACTTTTGTACCAGTTCATCTTTCTTCCTTTTCTCTCCAGGAGAGAACCGAACAGCCAAAGAGAACAGGCGCTGTATTCTTGAAAAGAAACGTATACGAAAAACTATGAAAATACTGTAGTATACGTAACGTATACTGTAGTATTTCCCTAGACTTTCGTATACGTTTCTTTTCAAGAATAGACCCCCAGGCCTATTGCTTGAAATTCCCAAAAATTGTTGCACCGAAAACATAGATAAAGATAAATATATGTTCGGACTTTAAAAAGAGAGAAATCCAAGATTCTAAAGCCGGTATTCATAGTCGGAATTTATATTCAAGACCGTCTTAAGTATAGTCTTAAGAAGTCACGAACCAATCAGAGGGCCACATTAGCGTTTTAAGACATTACTTAAGACAGTCTTGAAATAAGAATGGACTATGAGTGCCGCTCTAAATGCAAAAAATACAAACAACACAAACAGATCTATTTATTTTAATGGTTCCTGCACACTGGACGCGGAAACGCTTGCCGCGCGGCAAAATGGCTGCGTTTCTGCGTTCAGCAGAACGTTTGTTTTGCAACTGTTGTAAGTTTCCTTCGCGCTAATTGGATCATACTTTTAGATCTAGAAGAATGGTCCTATCTCAGCAGACAATCATAAAACGGTTGCAAAACTGTTGAGTCTGCTGAACGCAGCCAATGGGTGCGTTCAGCAGAACGTTCGTTTTGCAACTGTTGTAAGTTTCCTTCGCGCTAATTGGATCATACTTTTAGATCTAGAAGAATGGTCCTATCTCAGCAGACAATCATAAAACGGTTGCAAAACTGTTGAGTCTGCTGAACGCAGCCAATGTG